CCCTTCCAGAGGGCTCGGCCCCAGGCTCGCTCTGCTCCGGGCTGTGCGGTCCAGTCCCACGGGTAACGGAGCTGGTGCAATCTCTGGCGGCCGGGGGCTTCGGGGACTGACCACATCTGCTGCCTGACACCCACCCCTTGCTAGACGCCAGCTCAGAGTGTGTCTGCCCTTCCCCAGCCAGCCCAACCGTGTGCTCGCGGCCCTGCAGGGCGCGGGCTCCAGCTCCAGCGATCCTACTTCACGGGGGACCGACCGCTCTGGACCAGGAGCCCCGGCAGCAGGCTTCCCCGCACGCCGCCTCCCTCGGCCCCTCTCTGCATCTCACACGGGAGGAAAGAGACTCCAAGAGCTGTTTGCCCAAGGCCACCAGGCCAGGACCCTCGAACCAGAAAGCCTCCCCACCTGTGCTCATTCACCCCCACTTCTTTCACCCGAGAGTGGGTGCTCTGTGGCAGGGCAGATGAACACATCAGCTGTGCCTGTCCTGCCTCAAGTCACATTATGTGCACCCTCTTTCCTCCACCTCCCCAGCTACCAACATCCCTCCCACCAGGGTGAGCAGTTCCTGCCAGATCTACGATGTTTCCCCAAAGCTGCCAGAAAAACCTTTTTAAAAACCAATCACACCAATATTCAGCCTTAAAAGAAGCGTGGATAAACCTTGAGGACATTACGCTGAAATAACACAAGCACAGAGAGACGAATGTCATTCCACTCGCATGAGGTCCCTAGAGGAGTCGGGCTCATAGGCAGGAAGTAAAATAATGGGCTCCAACAGCTGGGGGTCGAGGAAACGGGGAGTTATTGTTTAATAGGGTTCAGTTTGCGAAGACGAAAATGTCCGGGAGATGATGGTGGCGACGGTTTCACAACAACGTGAGTGTGCTAAATACCACTGAATTGTGTAATTAAAATGGTAAACTTTATTATTTTCCACTTCAAAGAATCAATCCCGCCCTGGCCAGTTTTGCTCAGTGGTTCGAGTGTCAGCCCGCGGACTGAAGGGTTCCGGGTTCAACTCTGGCCACGGGCACACAGGTCGGCTGCAGGCTCCATCCCTGGCCCTGGCAGGGGTGTGTGTGCGAGGCAACCCATCTATGTGTTTCTCACATCGATGTTTCTCTCTCTCTCTCACCCCCTCCTCCTCTCTCTGAAAAGCAATGGAAACAACGTCCTCCGGTGAAGATTAAAAAAAAGAAAAACCAGTCCCATCATGCCACTTTCTGTTGATGGTAACGAAGTGCCACCCTTGCCAGGATGGTTTCCCCGCTTTGCGCCAGTTGTGTGACTTTGAGCAAGAAAACCCTTCTGTGCCCGACCTCGTCTATGAAATGGGACAACGACAGCGGGGCCGCCTGGGGCGACGGTGTGGTCAGCGTGCACACACCGGCGCCTGGCGCGCTGGGCCCGTCCTCACGGGCTGGCTGCAGCCCCGCGTCCACCTCCGCGCGGCCTTTGCGCGCCCCGCTGCCTGGGGCTCNCCCCGGGACGTAAGGCCTCGGACCCTGCGGCCAGGATCCAGCGGGAGCCGGAAGCGCAGCGGCCCAACCTGCGCAGCCTCCGTGGGACCCACGTGGGGAACCGGCAGGAAGCTGCTGACCCGCACTTCCGGTAGTAGCGGTGCATCATGGGGCTTGTAGTTTGCCGGCCGCGGTCGCCGCTTTCGCGGAGGGATGCGTCCGGGGCGTGGCGGCCGCGCTGCATGTTGGGAGTGTGTAGGCCCCGCGTGGCACTCAGGGAGCCTAGAAGGGAGAAACTCTCCAATCGGACTCGCGCCCGCGCCGCGTTCCACGGATCTCGGGGAACATGCGCCCCACGCTGCCTAAGGCGGCGGCCCCGGAACTGCCCTTCGCCTTCGCTGGGGCGGCTGCGTGACGGCGCGTTGGCTCCTCCAGCGTCCTCATTGATCGAGCGCCTCGTGACGTCACTTGGAGGCGCCCGCACGTCCCGACGCCTCGGTCGCGGAGGCTGCCGGGTAGCGGCTTACCCTCGCCCCGTGCGCCTGCGCCTTCCTCTCCCTCCCTGACGTCGCCGAGGTCGCACGCGCGAGGCCTGTCCGCCGCCGCCGAGTGAGTGTGGCG